ACTTAATTTGGGAGGAGGAGGTGAAGGAAAAGAAGACAAATTGCTTGCTTTCAAGGAAGTACAAATTTTATTTCCTATAAAGTATAAAGTATGACAAAGACATCTTTAGAAAAGATACTTCAGTGTTTTAGTGCTTCAAGAGATAATGACAAAAATAGACACATATATCTGCTACATTGCAAGCATAGTACTGGGTACTGTCATTTATGTGTTATGTCATTTAATCCCCGTCAGCTCTATGAAATGGAACCCAGGGCCTGGAGATGTCATGTATCTGGCCTAATTTCCCAGGGCCAATAACCAACCAAGCCCAGCCTTGGAATCTTAGGCCCTGATGCAAAGTATGTGGAAAGAACAAGAAATTTTAAACAGTGCTGGCAACTCTGTATTGAAACTCTTCTATAAATAGTTCCCTGATTATTTCTAATTCCCATTGACTTGGTATAATTCAAGCTATTCAGCAATGTAATACAGATAGATATTTCCTTTTAAAAATACTGCACAAATACATGATTTCCTGCTTCTGTCCACCCTGTCGGAGAAGTAGGAAAAGAGCAAGGTAATAGGAATTTACCCCCAAGCTATAAAACCTTCCTATTCTTTTAGTAATCAACAAGGGGAACTCCTAGTAACCAAGGAGACCATAATAGACTCCATTAGAATCAAGTACAACACTTGGGTTGCCTGGCTAGAGCATGCCAAAAGAGCAAAGGAAAATATTATCATTGCTGAAATCATTTGATGTCTATGACTAATAAAAAAGCATGTTGGCAAATTGAGTTTTTAGAAGTGCCCAAAGGGCTTGGTTAAAGCTGTGAATGAATAGTATACAGTAGTTCTGTCTGGAGAAAAGAGGTGGATGGGTGGAAGATGATGTTAAACTATTTTTAAAAGTATCTGAATAACAAAAGGGACCAACAGAAATCTTAAACAACCAATCTAGGTCCTTCATTCAATTTTTAAAATTTTAGATTTCCCCTCCCCTTTTCCTTACAGCTAACTAGCAAAGTTGGTTCATTTTGAGTCACATTATCCTTGAATTCATAGGCCTTGTTGGCCTTCTTACCTAACATCTCACAAATGCCGGATTTATCCTTAAAGAATCCCTGACAACTGTACCCACCTTAGAGACTGATAGGGCTGAGATGTCTATTCATGTATGTGCTGTGTCCCTTGGGAGCTAGAGGAAGCCAGAGGGAAAGAGTTGGGGGTAAGCCAGACCTCTAATTACCTCTTAACCCAGGTCCCAGAGGTTGCAATGGGCCTGCCTGAAGACGTTCATCCAGTCTCTGCTTGATCATTCCCAGAGCAGGAGGCCTTTGCCAGGACCCATCCTATCTTGTTATGCATGGACACAGCTCTGATTGTTGGAGGGTGTTCTCTCGGGCTGTGCCAAAATCTGCTTCCTTGTATTTTCTAAGCATTGTTCCTCCTGGTATCTCTAGAACAATGCTGTTTGACTCAACTTCCTCTCCTCTGGAATAGTCCCCTAGATAACTGAAGTCAACTGTCTTGACTCCCAGGTATACTTTCTTCTCTGGATTAAATATCCTTAGTTTCTTTCTCAGATCATAAGTCAAATATACAACAGTTATAACAATAGTAAGAGGCAGAACATATCGTCACCATAAGAGAAAGGCAAAGCCTGAAATTAGAATTTTTTTAAAAAAGAGTTAAATCTTTTAACTGAAAAGCTACAATTTTTAACTGATATTGAGAAACACTGTCTTTCCACTGAGTTCCTCCATGCCAGTGGTCGGCAAACTGTGGCTCGCGAGCCACATGCAGCTCTTTGGCCCCTTGAGTGTGGCTCTTTCTAAGCCTTAGGAGTACCCTAATTAAGTTAGTAACAATGTACTTACCTATATAGTTTAAGTTGAAAAAATTTGGCTCTCAAAAGAAATTTCAATCATTGTACTGTTGATATTTGGCTCTGTTGACTAATGAGTTTGCCGACCACTGCCATGCTATCTATCAAGTCATCCTGTCAAAACAGAAATGTATCTTGATAAGAAATGTAGAAATGTAGCTTTTTCTTACTGATACCACACCAGCAACCAATGATCATTCATCAGTTCTCACCAGGTTGCATTTATTTTTTGCCTTTGTTTACCGTTAATGCCTACCTTGAGAAAAGGTTCTGGAAAAGTACTTACCTGCATAGGAATGTTTGTGGCATGATTTCAAAATTTGAATACTAACTATTAAGAATTAAGGAAAGGGCAATGTAAGAATACTAAATTTTTTAGTTCTTTTTCCCAATATTTTATTTTGAAAAATGCTAAATATACAGAAAAGTTAAAATAAATTTACAGTTAACACCCCCATACTTAATAACTGGATACTACAATTATCATTTTGCTATCTTCAATTTGTCGCATATCTATCAGTTTCTTTATTCATCCATCAACCAGTCTTACTTTTATTTGAAGATCAGCAGAAGTTGCCTTCATCCATCAGCACACCTAATCCCTAAAACTTCAGCATGAATATCATTATCAGTTCTCTTTTGATACTTTTAATTAGTGCTCTCTTTTGAATCCCTCTTGCTCTTCTTTTCCTCTTCCCCTCTGCTTTCTCAATTTCTATTTCTGCACCCTTCCTCTCACTTTCTAACCCCAAAGTTCTAAGCTGTAAAAGGAAAGTATGAAAAATCTGAGCATGGAGCAGTCTTGAAGTAGCATCAGAAAAGGTCACCGATGGTCACGCAGGGCCTCACAGCTGTTATCACCACAGACCTGGGGAAAAGGCCCTCATGAACAAGCCGATGCGAACCAACTTACAACAGAGCGGGGTATAGATTAGCATGCCCACTTAATAATTTACTATGAGAAACCCAGCTATCAAATACCCAGTCTCCCCCTCAACTAACCTACATAACAGACCAAACTGTGAAGGGTTTTGGTGAATAGACTCAGAAGGAAATTAGTTAGATGGTCCTAGTGGCATGAAGCAGAGACCTTATCCTCACTGATGTTTTGACAGCTGGCCTGCACAGGACCTGACACCAAAGGGGTGCTTCAGAAATCAGTACAATGATGAAATGAGTAGGAGAACACTAAACTACCACTGCCACACCACCACGCACCTCTCACCTGGACTGCGCTGGCTGAACCCAATTCCACCCCTCCAACTCCCTTAAGAGAACTTCCATGACTGCCATTCTCCTTTGAGTAATGCGTTCTCTTTTAGCCATGTGTATGCCATTAATTAAGCTTTCATCAAGTCCTGATCTTCCTGCTTTGGTCTGGAAAACAACCTGTCTTTAACATGGGAGGTCTGTGTCTTTTTAATCCCATCCTTGATAAATTGATTGTACTGGCTTTACTCTCATAAAAAGGGCGTGATCCTCTACTGCCTGAGTGTACTCCTTTCAAAGACCAGGGAACACCATCTTCCCTGTGAGCAAAAACCATTCCTTTCCCTATCTTGAGATTTATGTCTGATAAGAAATGTTAGTGATTTCTTTTCTGGGCTTCCTAATTATCAGACCACAGAGACTTGGCAAAGTGAGCTCCTCAGTGGAAAGGCAGGACACAAAAGTGCAAATGTAGAACTTTTCATCATAATCAGCTTCTCCATAGTTGCAGGTAAATCCAATTTTAACAAATTAAATCCATTTTGAAATCCATAAAGGATCTTTCTAGCCATAAAGTCTCAAGGTAAATCCTTTGGGTGTGTAACAATTTCCTAATGTAGTTCTTTCAAAGGTTTGGATGTCATAAATCATATTATTTTACTAGTGCCCCGGTGCACAGATTTGTGCACATCAAAAGGAAATTAATTAGAAGGTGGCTGGCAGGGCAGGACTGGGCAAGACAGGCTGGACATGCCCTGGAGCCAATCTCCCTAGGGCCCTCCCTGGCCGGCTGCACCTGGGGTGGCTCCACAGCTCGAAGGGCATCTGCAGAGTGAGCGGGGTCCCTCCGGCAGGTAGGGTCCCTCAGCCTGGCCTGTGGGGATTGGCCGAAGCCGACTCTCCGACATTCCCTGAAGGATCCTGGATTGCGAGAGGGCAGTTCTCGGGTGACGCACCCCAGTTTCGGGCTCCCTCCTCTCTGAGTCTGGGGTGCATCACCTGAGAACTGCCACTGCCAAGTCACTACAGCTTGGCAGCTCCTGCGTTGAGCATGGTCAGTGCACATCATACCTACCAGCTGGTCAGACGGTCACTTAGCCTTTTATATATATAGATAGCAAGGAATTCCTGTCCTCTATTGCCTGAAAACCTTTCCTATCCCCGACCACTTTCCTTATATAAGTACCATAGTAAATATCTGTAAATATCAGCATTTCATGGTAGCTTCGCACCCTTTAGAATATATTTGAATGCAAGCCATTATGGTATTAGGGTGAAAATGACTCAGAATCAAGGCTTTGGCTCTTTCATGTGAATGTTTACTTACAGATTGGGAAAAAAATCCAATACTTTTAGGCACTGGCACTTCAGTGGTAAAATCCCAACTGACAATGAGAGGTCTTCTCTAATTCCTTCTCTTATAAGCAACTAAAACACAAGGTTCAGATCCAGATAAAAACCATCAAGCAAGTAAAAGAGCCCAGCCAGCATGGCTCAGTGGTTGAGCTTCGACCTGTGAGTCAGCAGCCAGATTGGATTCCCCGTCAGGGCACATGCCTGGGTTGCAGGCTCGATCCCCAGTAAGTGGCGTGCAGGAGGCAGCAATCAATGCTTCTCTCTCATCATTGACGTTTCTCTCTCTCTCTCCCTTCCTCTCTGAAGTCAATAAAAACATATTTAAAACAAAATAAGGTAAAAGATACCACGCTGCAGAGAGTACGCTTTGATCGTTGGTGACTCGGGCTCTCTGACAGCAGCACACACTCAGTCTCACAGCCTCAAACAGGACTCAATCCAGATAAACAGGGAGCGTTTCATCTCAGCGAGGCTTCAAAGGCCAGGTTCGTTCAGACATCATCAGTTCTTTTTATCCCTTTGATGTATCTGTCTCTAGTGACGGAAACCCTTATTTTTTTTTAAGAAACTAAAGCACAAAAGGAAACTGAAAAAGCTACAAACAGATTTGGCAACAGCTAAGCAAGAGGCTGCCATCATAGCCCTGGAGCTCAATGAGAAGATAAAGGCTCTATGTGAAGGAAAGCCAGCCCCTAGAGGTCAGTATCACCACGTGACAGTCACTGGCCCATGATCCTGGGCGGTATATATAGTTTTATTGGCAACCAGGCAAGAAGCAAGGCCACAGTGCCAGGCGCACACTGGCCCGGCAGCATGCTGACCTGGCCTGACCTCCATTCGGCATGAATGGCGATATCACAGGAACTACTCACTCCAGACGAGGTTCCTTTCACCATAAGAGAAGCAGAGAATGAATGAATAAGCGGTTCTTTAAAGGAAAGTCTCTGAAGCTGAAGAGCTGGACTGAAATAGATCTGATCCATGTCTTTGCACAAGCTGGGTGGCAGGGAGGGAAAGGTAGGGCCTAAGAGGAGAGACCCAAGGCCCCCAAGAGAAGGGGCTCTGGAGCTGGGCAAGGAGAGGGGCTCATCTAAAAGTGTACATGGGTTTATAGACTAAGAAGGCACAGGGAAGGAAAGAAATTAGTGCTTTCACAATAGGCAACTGAGCCTGAAGTAGGGAAGGCTGGTTGGGGACAAAGTCTAGGTGGTTCAGAAAATTTTTATTGGTTTGGAATGTTTTGGTGTTGTTATTGTTGTATTTTTTTATTTTATTTTATTTAGCATTCTCTAAGAGACTATAATAAACATAATAAACACACATGGGGGGGTGATACCCCAAACCTCAGATTGTCATTAACAATAATACAAGTTAACATTTAATACCATGTGCTAGGCATTTTGCTAAGTATTTCACGTGTATTTAATTTTCAGAAGTCAGTACATTTATGGATTCTACAAGAATAAGCAGAGGCTTAGAGATGCCCATTCCCTTGCCCCAGGTTAGATGTGTCTGAGCAACACCTGGGCACTCGGCCTCCAGACAGAAATGAACCGAGCCCAGGTGCCTGTGCAGCTCGAAGCCAGTGAGGCCTTTCGTTTCTGCTGTGCAGAGTGGGAGCACACTTCCTCCTGCCTGCTGGATCTCTTGCAAAACTGTGATTCCCTGGGATAAAGGTCTTCCTTTGATGTGTGGCACTCTTGTAACGCCAAAAAACATGCCATTGTTCTTACTCTGGCTTCCTTTATTACTCATAAGTCATTCTGGAAAAAGAGGAGGAGCGTGGAAATAAATGGGAGGAGGAGAAAATAGGCGCTGTGGTGGCTTCAGAAAGTGAGACACTCCCAGCATCCTGACCACATTGCAAAGCTTTTAATATGGATTTGGTTTTAATTTTCAGTTTTGAATAGCACTTTCCCAGGGTTGAAATGGCGTGTAACAGCTACCTTGAAACATACGCTGAAGGTCAATTTGTTTTGCTCTTTCCACAGAAAATAAAGATAGTTTATGAATTTGCTTTTACCACCATGAAACCTAAAAGAATAAAATCTGTCAGAGAATCCCATCTATTTAAAGGTCTTTATTAATCTAAGGCATGATAGCCAGATTTCAACTCGGTTGCATAATAAGAAGCTGAGAGAAGGTTTCAACTGCTCCACTATATTTTTAATCTAGTGAAAAAAATATATATTATTGCAAGTTAGCTAATTCTCATTACTCATCTTTTGACAAAAATAATATCATTTGCTGTCTAATAACTTTGTTCCTTTAATATTTTGATAGGTCAAAATTAAAATAATATGGAGAGAATAGAAAACATTAAGTCCTACCTTCCTTCTTTGCCCATTTTTTTCTACATTTCTGTTTAAAAAAACAAAACTTATAGTACGGGGGGAGGGGGGACCTACTGTATTATGAAAAGATACAAATTTCAATAAAGCCAGGTCTCCCACGTTCAATTACGGTTGAAAACAGGACTTTCTTTTGTTGCTTCTCTGATTTGGTGGAGGGAGAGACTGAGTCTGTGGACTGACATACAGGACTAAAGTCTTAAATTAAATATTTGCACATTCTTACGCTCCCAGGGGCCCCGAGCAGCCTCACCCTGAATTCAATAGCCCAGAAGACTGTCAAGGCCGTTGTGGCCCCAGAGTAATATTAGCTCTTATTCTCAGAGACTTTGGTCACCTTGCCCTACCTATCAATTCACTTCAAAGTCAAGTCCGGAACGATGTCGGTAACTCTCACATATAATGACCCCCACTTAACCACAGAACGATTAGCGCTGACCCACCTCCCATACACATTCCTCAACCAGAACACCACCCTTCCCTTAGTTATCTTGTGTCCTTTTATAAAATGTTTGTTTTCAGTTCTCAGACCTTTGTTTGCAAATGACAGATGCCCCAGTCATAACAGCTTAAGGGGAAAGGGTGATTTATTGGCACGCGTGTAAACAAACCGAGCAAGGGCATGCCATTAGTCTTGGAGTCTGATGGGTTCAGGTCTCAAATATCACTCTGTGTCTCTCATCTCTGCTTCTCTCTGCCTCGGGACTCCACTCTCTCAAGCAGGATGTCAGAAGAGACTAGAAACACGGCTCAAAGCAGCGATGGGCTGTCCTCCTTACCTGTCCTCCAGAGAGGAGAGAAAGCATTTTTTTCCAGCAGCTCCATTTAGAAGAAAAGTATAAGAACTCTGTCCTGGCATGGGTACCCTGAGGGTATATGAATAATCTTTGTGGCCAGGGTCGGGAACTATGGTTGGACAAGCTTAGGTCATGCACTCACCACTAGGTGATGGTGTAGAGCAGTGGTTCTCAACCTTGGCTGCCCATTAGAATCACCTGAGAATCTTTTAAAAATCCTGATTTCTGGGCCTCATCATCCGGAAATTCTGTTTCTTTGTTATGGGGTGGGGCCACAACATTAGTAACAAAGAAATAGAATTTCCGGAGGATGAGGCCCAGAAATCAGGATTTTAAAAAGATTCCCGGGTGATTCTAATGGGCAGCCAAGGTTGAGAACCACTGGTGTAGAGGGAAACAAGGGTGGGGAAGGGGAATGTTCTGACTCGGTGGTCGGCAAACTGCGGCTCGGCAAACCGCGGCTGGCGAGCCACATGTGGCTCTTTGGCCCCTTGAGTGTGGCTCTTCCACAAAATACCAACTTCTGCGCATGGGCCACGAAGTTCAATCGCACTGTGCGTGCGCACCCGCACGTGGTATTTTGTGGAAGAGCCACACTGAAGGGGCCAAAGAGCCGCATGTGGCTCGAGAGCCAAGGTTTGCCAACCACGGTTCTGACTGATTGTTACTACAGGGCTAGATTGGGAGAAAAGCACTTCCTTAGAGGAAGGGATAGCCCATTACTGAAAAGAAAGAATGAAGGACCAAACCAACCTGTCCAATACATTCTCAGTAAGTGGTCAAATTAAAATGTAATGCTTAATGAATCACCCATCCTCGAGTATTTGTACTTTTTAAGTAGATTCTTTTTGATGAACAAAAGAACGTAATGATCCAAGAAATAAATGTCCAATGGTATAATTTCAGACCCCATAATAGATTGAGAGTGAACCATTTTGGGAAAGGAGTCCCCTTCCAGCCTCAATCAAGTGACGTCATAGACACCTACTCCAAAAGCCTGTCTTATTGTAACATGAAACTGCAAGAGGGGAAAACTGTGTTGATTCTAAATGACATGTTAACTGGATTAACATAAAGCTACTTCTCTGTTATAGTTACAAACTGATGCCTACAGTTCTAACAAGCAAGTTGAGATATTTATTCCAAATAAATTAGAATTTCTTTTTACCCAAATATGCACTTTTAAGCATATTCAAATTGATGAAACAGTGAGCTACCAAACTTTTTTCTTAATACATAAACACAGTAAATTATTTCATTGGCTCTAAAGAAATAAATGATTTAAGTCCATGGAAAGTTCAACTGAAAAGAAAAACACCTTTATTATAAAACTGGCACAGCAGGAAACTTACTTACAGCCTCAGTGTTGTTTGTTGATTTTACTTTGTTCAAATAATCACAGCCCAGGGCAGATTCCTTCCGTCATTTCCACAGCCTGCACCTGAGGTGCTCACCGCTTTGTTTACTAGCAGAATTCAGTGAAATGCCTATTGTACGCTTGCAAAACACGAGTCCATCTTTTGCTAAATCTTAGTATGCAGGCACCTAAGGTTAAATTTCAAAACAATCTTTGCTTCCTTTGGCTTAGGAGGACAAAATTACTTTGCAAAAGACCTCATTGACTACGTCCTTTTGCTGGCACAGGAGCATTAAGTCACTTGCTATGATGAAAGCTCCTATGTTTGACCAGAACATCAGGGTCCAGGTTTATAGATTCCAAGCTAGCATACTAAAGGGAATGCACTCTTCTGGATTTTTTTTTTCCTTTTAATTCTTTTCTCTTAATATGCACAATGTGGTATCTAATCCTCACTTGCACATTCCCACTGTCCCGCTGGAAGCCATATCAACTTTTAAGCCATCACTTTGTTTGAGGAGATACTCCCAGGCAGTGCAGGTGCATTCTGGGTCAGGCCGATCCAGGACTCAATGTCTGAATAGAGCCAGACACATTTTGAGGGGAGGCTTGTATAATAGGACTGACACCAGCGATCCTTTAGTGACACAAGACTGTTTTTAAACACTACCCCATTAATTTTAAGAATCAGACTATTGCTGTCCTATATTCTTAAGAGAGTCAGGAGCAATATCTCTTTGCCAACACCCAGAGCCAACTTTTAATCAACATTTTAAAGAGTATCTTTTATCATGATGTTCGCCTCCAGGCACTCAGCCCAAACTTTCCGTTCCTCTTTTTATCTCTCCTCCTGCAAACTTCCTCCAGATTAAAGCTTCCATTGCTTCTAGGTCAGCGGTTTTCAAACTGTGGGTCGCGACCCCTTTGGGGGTCGAACGACCCTTCACAGGGGTTGCCTAAGACCATCGGAAAACACATATATAATTACATATTGGTTTTGTGATTAGTTACTATGCTTTAATTATGTTCAATTTGTAACAATGAAATTGGGGGTCACCACAACATGAGGAACTGTATTAAAGGGTCGTGGCATTAGGAAGGTTGAGAACCACTGGTCTAGGTGTTAAGAAAAGAGTGATTTGAAGGTGTTGAGGCATTCTGGAATTAGATAGTGAAACTGGTTGCATAGGAAT